AATACGAACAGGCGATCCAAACGACCAACGTATACGAAATAGAAGGCAGACTGTGAGACCTGGACCAAAGCACTATATTTGAACATAAAAATACAGTGGCATCGCACGGTGCATTTAATGACCAAGGTGGAAGTGTGTGGACGCAACGCGCGTCAACGTTCAGTAAAACAAGAACGTGACGTAAAACACGAGTGACGAAGCAGAGTCACTACACTTTCCATAAAATGTATGCGGCCACAGAAACGGCAAGCAGCTGTTGGATGTGTTCCATTTTCAGCGGCAATTTTGCACAATCCATAATCCTCTGTTGTGGTAAGTGTCTCCATATGCTTTTTTGCTGCTTCCTTACTCTGACATACGTCGATGCATTGTTTGAATGTCAGCTTTGTAATTTTTAGGAGACTCTTCTCCACCGCAGAATTCGTTCAGGGGTCACCATGCTGTTGTCTTCTCTGGTTGAAAATGTATCGTTCGTAAGGCTTGTTGGATTCGCCAAGACAGTACTGCTCCATCTTTTCATCACCACAAACTACTCTCGACAGTCCTCATCCGGACTGTAAGTGAATCCATTTATGACACTCAGAGCACTCGGACCAATCACGTGAAGGAACAGAGCAAATTGTAGGGGACTGGATTCGCGGTCCATCGCAGTTAGTGTACGAAAGCCTCCATACTGTGTTCACTGCAGTCTTCGATCTATCAGCCAAACGCACCGTCTCCTCCACCGTCAGTTACGCCGGTGGTTGGATCTGCAGTCAACTATTCGGACTCTCCCACATTGGGAATTTCGCATCATTTTCCGCTGCCTTCATGTCAAAAGTCGGTTCTTCAGGAAACGCTCTCAATATATTTTCTCTAGTCCACTGGACACGAATCACGTAAGGGAAGAGAATCACAGGAGTTTATTTATAGCCCTGAACCAATCAGATTGTTGGACGGGCAAAATTAAAGTCTTACATGAACCAATCATAAAAACAAAATTGATGTAGTAAAACGAACAATCGATCGGAACAAAACTTTCCAACACGCCTGCACACAATACTGCAATTGAGGTGTTACTATAGCCTTGTACTGAGACAAAAACACCTCCGGTTTTCTGCAAAATAGTGCTGATTTCAATCTGAAGATTTCTCTGTGGGCTTCATTTCCCGTTTCTATGCACTGCTGGGCCTGGGGGAAATCGGAAGTTACAATGATACCCAGGGCCTTAACCCTACTAACGCATCCTATCGTGAACGAACCCTGATCTTGCACTACTGTTAAGCTTTCGTCGATCCGCGATAGCAACTGGCTTTTACCAGCATTCAGCGGCAAAGCTCAGTTCTGCGCCCAGCTGAGGACAGCAGCTATGTCACTTTTAAGGTCCTCTCGTCCTTCGTATCCAACCAGTTCGACATCGTCGGCGAAAAAAGGTGGGCGATCTCGGCAGCTCAGCTAGGTCATTTACGAATAATAGGAAAAACAACAAACCTAGCACGGAGTCGTTGGGTACACCACTTGTGACGAATGCTGTACGGGAGCACTTGTCACCTACTTTGACGTAGAAGGTCCTGTTAGTGTTGAAGTTCCTCAGCCATGTGTGTTTTTGTCCCCTGATACCAATTGCCTCTATTATGACTAATAGCAGGCTTTGGTTGACCGGGTCAAGCGTCTTGCTAAAGGTTACTTTACCCCTCTCGTTCTCCAGGACCTCCATTAGGAACAGCCTCTTTATTTCCGTGTGCTCCAAGCTACGGAACAAACTTCCGACTGACATGAGATCATGTCCATCCATTTATTTCTTTAAAGCTGCAATAAATAAATTCCTCACTGTCCAAACCATGATCCAGATCACCAACTCAATTTTGACTAAAGAAGACGCTTTTGCACTTGGGCTGAGGATTTAAAACGACATAAATCATTGTTTCTTTTTTTTTATTCAGACGTGCTATGATCTCCTCCAGAAAATAGAATCTACACTATATCATAATCTTAGGCATAGATCACTTCCGCTTAACGTTCTGATTCTCTTCTCTTTAGTATCTTGTCTACTGAATGTTTTCCTATCTTCAGCCAGGCTCTCTTTTTCTCCTCTATTTTCACCTTTACTTCCTACAAATCTTTTCTTCGACGAATCTGTTCTGATAGCTTGGAGGCAAATGAGAATCAGTATTCCCATTTCTATTTCCATTGCTAGGACTATCTGGTGGTCATTAGTCGAAACTGTTATATGGGTATAATTTACTAGTCCGTTTTTGTCTGTTCTAAACTTCTAGCATTAGATTGCGTAATAACATGCATGCTATCTCCCCTTCTCTCCCTCACTCATCAGCTAGGACACAAACCTAGACTGTTTCCCATTTCCGGCTTCCATTCCAGAGTTCTCCTGCTGTAAGAATATAAGCGACTTCCGCCGGATCGGTCCGACATGCAACGGTGAAGAAAACTGAATTAGTACCGAAAAACCAGAAGCAGGACTCTATGAAATCTTCCATCGACTGGACGTTTTCACTAAACAAACTCAATGTTGAGTTGCAGGCCCGCACGCAGCGATCCGTGTTGTTCTATCGATGATAGAAGACCTGGCGAGGCCTGAAACTTCTCCACCCCGTCTTGACCCGATCACCCACGCCTAAACAGTGATTTCACTCAGAAGCTAGTGGAACCGACAGGACTTTATATAACCATTTTTTTCAAACACACAAAAAAACCTTCAAAAAACTCCACCCATCCAGTTTTTCTTTTCACCTTTAAACGATCAACGTTTGACATCTTTAACGCGTCCAGTTCGCACAGTTTTCATTTCTCTTCCCTGGTCGAACTCAATTCTAAATAACACAACCCATTGACATGTGTACACGTTTTCATTTGTTACATTTCCGCCTTTGTGACTTTTTGTCTTCATATCTCCTTATCTACAGAATTAAAACCTGTCAGAAATGTACTAAATTGCTCCCCTTCCTTTTTATAAATTTCCCGAATAAACAAAACGTCCACTGATAGTTTGTGTTTATCTTTGTTTCTCGCGCGCAAACAAATCGCGTTTCGTTGCATTTATAACCCCACTAACTGTTGACCCAAATGTTCTTCCATTTATTGTACAAAATGATCGTCCATCCCTGCATGCCTCACGACTTTCATTGTGAAATATACCATTTTTATTGTTATTGTTATTGATACTGTTAACCAAAACACAGAGCACTTCGAAATTTCAAACCGCGCGACACTCACGTCAAGGTTAAGGTGAGTGCAGCTCAGTTTGCAAAAGACAGAAAATGGCCACGGCCCATCGAACGTCCAGAATTCTTTCGGTGTTATGCAGTCAGATATGGCTTCCACCACTGCGAAAAGTAGTCCGTAACTTCATGGCTGAAAAGAAAAAGAAAGAGGAAAGATATTTCATCTCACCTCGGAGGCGAGATATTGTTATACGTGAGCATTCATCTTCCAGGCTACCTCCCAATAAAGGCAGAACGAAACAAAAACATTCCACTACTCCGGTTTTCCTAAGTCGTTAACTGGTCAGACCTCCACTTCAGAAACGATCTCAGACCACAATTCGTCCAAGGCCCTCTTGAACGCTTCATAGTCTGCGGCTCTATTAGCTCTACTGGTAGTCTGCTTCATATGTTGACTACTCTGTTTTTGGCGAAGTGTGACCGGGCGATCAATTGAAACCGGGTCTGGTCTAGTTTTGTTTTGTGTACCCTTGTACTGGAATCTAGCGCTTCCCGGAACAGGGTTTCAAGTCTAAAACCAGATAAACTTTCCATTATTTTAAATGTCCCCATCATATCAGTTCACTTGGTATCCAGGACCGTGACGACAATTGAGAGAGTCAGGTCACAGGATTCTAGGCTTTGGCCGGTGGACGTCCAGATTCTTGCAGTTGTGAGCTGGTGGTTTCCCCTGTGCTACAACTACCATGTTGGTCCACAGTTGTGTGTTGATGTTGTACTTACAGGAGAAGAGATGAAGAGCAGGATCGCCCTCGGGGAAACAGAAGTGTCAATCACTTGACAGGCGCCGCACCTCAGCGTACTGCTACTCCTGCCATAAGAGCTTCCCGGAGCTGGTAAAAAGATGTAGTAATTGTGCGTGAGGTGTGCAATGTAAAGAAGTGATAATAATAATATTAATAACGGTATATTTCGCGAAGCCCGCAAAGCTTGCCAGTGCGCATGATGGTAAAATAGACAATGGCTACAAAGGGGGATGTGGGTGGTGACTGAGATTTGTGCTAGTCATACTCTGGAAACGCCTCGTCCCAGCAGATGTCTAGTCTCGGGTGAGTTGCAGAACACTGGTTGCTGCTACTACTGACGATGGAAGCTTGTTCTATGCGTTTACCACGCTGTGGGAGAACAGTTGTGCCCTGGCACTTCCGTTGGCCTGTGGTTTCATCAGCTTCAGGACATGCCCTCTGATGGTTGGGCTGAGATATGGCATAAACAAGGACCAATCTGCTATTGACAGTCCTTTGGGCTGTTTGAAATTCTCAATCAAATCACCCCTCAGATGACGGCGGTGCAATGAGAATAAGTCAAGGCCACCAGCCTTTCTTTGTATGACTTACCCTACATTCCACTGATCTTCCAGGTAAACATTCTTTGCACTGCCTCAAGCAGTTGTTTAGTCCTCACTAGGGGAGGGGCCCACGCCTGGACACAGTACTCCAGATGTGACTGCACACACGCCTTATACAGTGGCAAGAGTGCTTTAACCTCGCTGGATGTTACTGTGCGGCAGAGTTGGAATAAGGCTCTTCGCTGCTTTGGCCTGGAACCTGTGGTTAACTGACTCGAAGGCTTTCCTGAAATCAAGGTAGGAACCTTCGACTCGATCCCCTAAGTCTAACCTTTCTGTCACCTTATCCAGAAATGATAGGAGGTTAGTGAAACACGACCTTTTGTTGAAAAAGCCGTGTTGTTGCTCAGCGATGAGATGTTGGTCGTCCAAATATCCCACCAACCTCACCCTAAGGAGACGCTCGAAGGCTTTCAGGACCACCGAAAGCAGGCTTACTGGACGATAGTTCGATGCAGCCGCCCTTGACCCACCATTGTGGTCCATTCGGCCGGCAGCGTTGCTGAGGCACGAAATCGGTTGAAAAGCTGAGCCAGCGCACCTGCAAGGATGTAAGCAATGGGCCCCAGGATTGCTGGATGAAACCCATCCGGGCCCGTGGCCTTGTTCTGATCTAGCTGTTTCAGTGCTGCTTCTGCCTGCTTTGCCTTTAAGACAAACGGAGCCGTGTGCTGTTCGGGAAGACAACCAGAGTGTCCACATTCTTGCATTGGTGAGCTCCTTGGATCCCCCCGGTACTGNTGCGAAAATAGGAAAAATAAAATTCCTCCTCTGTTAAGAGAGGGTAAGCAGACTCGGATGCCCAGACATGCAGACACGGATTTCACCTCTTGCGTGCACGATCATACCTGTTATCTGTAAGCCACTTAGCGAGCGGTTTGTTCAGCAACTAAATCATGAAAGGGATAGACATGTAACGTCCAAGGTTTGGAGTGAGAAATTAAAAAGGGAAATTGTTCTGGGGAGTGAGACAGGCATGTCTGGGAAACAATAAGTAGAAGTAGAAATAATATACGCAGCGAGAGGGCGCTGTAACTCACAAATAGATTACCGAGCGACGCGTAGCCGAAATTGGATCCCAAAGCGTCAACAAAACAAACGATCCGGCAAATGTCTACGGTACTGCATTATTAAACGATCGAATAAGCAAATA